TGAAAAGACGTCTTTGGAAAGGTAACCGTCGGTCCTTCGGGTGGCCCCTCAAGAAAATGACAGCAGGTCAGGCGGCAATTGAATAAGTATAAAAAAAGCCGGAAAGCTTCTGTTTTTGTGTTCTTAGAGTTGTTCTTGTGGTGTTCTTAAGTGCTCTCTCAAAGTATTCCTGTTTATTTGATCGTTTAATCAGCTGTTTTATTGGTCAGTAACTCAGTTTATTAATCAGTAGTTTTCGTCACAACTGTTAGCGTTTAGCCTTAGTCGTTAACAGCTATTATCATTTCTGATTTATTAATTTTTTTCGTTCTTATAATATTATTTTGATTTTGTTTTGTTTAATAGTTTGATAATTTTGTATTTCTTCGTATCAATTTTCTTATTATTATTTTGGAGTTGTAATACCTGTGTATGACTATTTTCCTTATTGCTAGGATTATATCTTGTACTAATTTACGCTCAATTTCTAATAAAACAATCATCAAAACTAGGCGTTCACATACCATCAACGCAATTTTAAGCGCTACCATGGGAAGAAGTAGTCTCAAAAATACAGTCCTGAAACGTTACCATATTAAGTACGTCATAATTAGTTGGTGCTGTAGTATTCAAGCGGCTATTGGGGCTACAGCATAATCTAAAACGTCTTTTCGAGCTTTCAAAAAGCATAGTAGGAGGAAGGCTTAGGCCATCGTTTAATTAGAGAGAGTTTTGGTAATCGCAACACTATGGTCGTTCTTGTCTTCGTAAATAATTTCACCTAATTTCTTAAACTGCTGATGGACGCTATTGTGTCAGATTGAGAGAACTATAATTGCTAAAACCGATTTAGTTTCCACGACCCTTCTCGTTAACTTAGAATTTCTATTTTTGTTTTGAATACGTCATAGAATGATGTCCATCTAAGATAGTTTTTTCAAGAGTATTAGAACAAAATGTGATTGAAAGAATAATGAAGTAGAAACGAGTTGTAATGTAATGCAGGAAGCAATAATGAGAAACTGGAAAATAAAAAGGATCTCCTTTGACGAATTAACTGTATAATTGAGTTTAATAGAACTTTTAAACAGAATAACAACTGCAAAAGAATTAATAGAATATTATCATTAATGAAAATCTGAAGAAAAATCCACATGATTCGAGAGCAGCGCCACAGGGTACAATAGAGGCGCCTTGTAATGTTTTTACCCAACGCTTGTAACTGTAAATAAATGATCTTTTAGCTATCACTGGAATCAGTATGCCATGTTGTCTTAACAAAGGTTTGTATCGTTTTTTCGCCCAACTGCTCTATTAACAACTATTTCCTGTTCCGTTACATAGAAGCATAAGCTACGGTCGTTTTCTGAGCCATTCACATTAACCTTCGCTTTACACTTAAACTTCCATCTTCTTCACTTCTAAGCAGCAAATCTAAATTTTTCTGTTTGCTACTCTTCGCTCCTATTCCCAGTAACATGTTAGAACCACTCCGTCAAAGAATCGCCATCGCTTCTCGCCACAAAAAAGCGACTCTAGAAGCTGCACGAAAAATTGAATATTCAAAGGCAGATAGGTCCGTCGCTGCCTATACTGAACTGCTACAACTCGTGCAATCTTACTATGACAAAACAATCAGATCTTTAAACACTTTACAAACTTATGGACACAAGTATGCTACATTTTTGCAATCTATTCGCGAAACTTCAACCTATCTTGAGAAAGCAAAAAATTGCAAGAATTTTGCTTCAGCATTTCTTGATATTATTGAAGAAATTCAAGACAATCTAGCCGATTTATCTATGCACCAAGCCGTACTCTCTACGGCCTCCAACCGCTTAACCGTTACTCCAACTCAACCTTCAGCAAATCCAACATGCACCATACAGCTCGAGCTCCCCACTTCAAAAATACCAAAATTTGTTGGTACTGATTTCGAAAAATGGTCGCAATTCTAGGCCTGTTTTACACACTAGATTGATGAGCGCTCTCCACCATCAACAACTTTAATTATTTGCTGTCTTATGTGAATGGAGAAGCTCTTTTAGGAATGACTGGATATTCCATGACGCCGGAAGACTACGGTGTTGTGAAAAATGCACTGCAACTGCACTATGAAAATCCCGCGCTGCTTAAAAAGAAGCTGTTTCAGAAGCTTCAACAAGTGCCGCCCACCAAAGGTATGTATCAAACTGATTCTGCTTTTGATCAAGTTAAATGCATTATTGGTCGATTGGAGCAACAAGGCGAGAATGTCGCAGACAACGCCGCTCTCAAACTGCTAATCAAACCGAAGTTGTCAAAAACATTATCGCTCCAGATTTGCGCAAAAAAATTGCAGTTGCGCAACTGGAACCTCAAAAACCTTGCAACGAAATTGAAGCAAAAGCTCTTGTGAGAGAAAAAAAAGCCCAAATACTGTCTACTTCATTCGTCCGCTCGACAAGCCCTGCAAATACACGTGCTCAACTCCACGAGTCCTCCAAAAAAACAACAGTTGTCACTTTGACACCAGAGGCGACCGAACGAACACCAGCAGACTACATCCCCAAGTGTGCATTCTGCCAAGAACAACATTAGTCTGAAAGTTGCCAGTAATATGCCAATATAAAGGATAGTACTGTTTGCGCCAAAGATTTACAAATCTGTTTCCGGTGTCTGGAAACCAATCACACGTAGCTGCATTCGAAAGATGTCCTGTTACCACTGCAGGCGGCACTACTTGACCCTAAGGAGAAGCTCCAGGATGGCAAATGTTTGGTCAGTCTGCCTTTGAGATGTTATATGAACAGCGAGCCAAAGCAGTACGAATCAGTGTGCGTCAAAGTGTCTATACAAAATCTTCGGCTCTCATTTAGACTGGTGGCCTCATCATGCTGATTGGTTGAAGACGATGATGCCGCTCAGAAGCCCCCTTTTTTTGTACAGTATGTGGATGCCATTTACGGTATGTGTAGCAAAACTTTTACTAGTAATGTGAACAAAATGATTGAGAGAAATAAGGTTAAGATTTATATGATAGATAATATGCATAAAGTTTAATTGTTTCTTTTTTTTTGCTTTTATTAATTTTCAGAAATTTTTTAGATTCTAGAAACCAAAATAGACAGAGAACTAACTGAGGAAGACGGAGAAGAACGAAACAGATAACAACAATAATAGAATTTAAAAGAAGAACGTATTTAAAACATCTGTTAACTGTATTAATAAAAAATAAAAATTTTTT